CTAACAACATTACGGTAACGGTTACAGTACACCAATGTATGCAGCATAACATTTAGTTTCGGCGTTTGCTGGAAGACTACCAGACGGTGATAATCTAGGTCTTTTGGATTAAAGGATGATGTAGAATGAGCCCGGGGAACAATTTCTTAGATCAAACCTTATGCAAGAGCATTGCGTTTAGATGACTTTTTTTACCGATAACATGCACACTTGTAGACTACGTAAGCCGTTTTTGACATCAGAGTGGAGTTTACAGGCGCCTGATTGAGATCTCGATTGGCTGTGTCTATGGTCAGATATTAATCTGCTTTCAACTTCTACTGATTCCAGTTCTGTCTCGTTTACCAGGCGTGGGCAAACGCTCGGTAAGTGTTGACGCTGCCGTTCGAGTACTCTGTATTTATGCATGTCTTCTGTCTGGCATTTACACCTCCAAGGGCAGTTTAGACGAGTGGGGTGAAATATTACACCAGGTTGTTCACTTGAATTCTATTGGTTTAAGACTTGTGTGCCCCTACCCGGACCGCATTGTCAGTGCGGTCGAACAGTATAGGGGGCATAGCTGGAAGCACAGTAGCTGTTCTTCCAGTTGATCTCCCATAACCAGAGGAGATCAATAGTGGGAGCTGGCGATAAAACGGTCTGATTCTGATTGCGGTAGTTTCGGATGCTGAATGTAGTGGTTGCGTTTCTGGCGGAGCCTCCAACCTGCGCAAAGCAGAAGGAGAGGGTGCGGCATATGAAACACAAGTCAATTTCAATGCCCCACCACGCTGTGCAATGCAGAACTTTAATCATCGGGAGCGACTTTCAAACTCTCGAGTGTGTTTCAATCGATATGCAATTCCAACACCTACGTCTGCGGCAATGTCCGAATTCGCAACTGATGAGTCCTTCAGTTGGGACAGAGAATTCTTTATATTGAGTGATTTTATGCACTACACTCAGGCAGCAAAGCTATTTTTCGTCTTGCTTATACTGCAGCGCCTGTGTTCGTGTAAATGGTGTTTTTATACGACTCCGTATTAGATCTCTCTTATGGCTGCTTAAATCACGGAGACGGTGTGTCGTTTTAATAACCATCTAAATTGTTAGGCAGGAAGGGGGGGTTGGAAAATTTACATAATTTGTTTGACCCATTTGTGAAAACTTATCGGCCTCGGTGGGAGTCGAACCCACACAGCAGGCAAGGCTTTTGCGCTGCTAACTCTCTACCATTAAGCTACGAGGCTCACATTGAGCGGCAAATTAAGTCACACCTGGATCGACTATGCCCAACAATCTTACTGCTCGTCTGGGATCCAGCATTACAGAACAGATAGCTGACTGTGCAGGAAAGATTTCCTATGCAATAGTCTAGAATTTACCGGAGTGACTTCTAGGTTCACTTAGTTATTATATGGTTTGGCAGATTTGCTTTAATAACTTGAACTGTTTCTGAAAAACTTCGCGGCTTTGGTAGGAGTTGAAATCACACAACAGGCAATGCCTTTGCGCAGCCAAAGCTCTAACTTTGAACTAAGAGGCTCAAGTTGAGCCGTGAATTTAATCACACTTGGTCGGAATTTGCCCGTTCAACTTACTGCTCGTATGGAACCCGCCATTTTGGAACAGATAGGTGATTGCCCAGGCAGGAATTTCTAAGCTGGTGTTCGTACACCCTTCATTCTGTTATCAAAATATTTAGTTCTGTCCAAATGGCGCCGTATTTTAATCTTACATTTGTTTTTTTGCATTAATTTAAGCACCATAAAACATAGAATGCAAGCTATGGCAGATAATATGTGATGCTTGACGGTTCGGCTATTGTTGTAGAACATGGAGAATGTGTTTGATTGTGCAACTTTCCTCTAAAAGCTTAGCAAGTGCAAATATAAGCAGCCCCTCTTGTTGCAAATCTCGTAAATTATGAAGCATGTGTGCTGAAGTCTCGATGCTTTGCATTTTCCTTCTACCCGATACGATAAAAACTTATTTGAAACTATTAAGAACCAGCCCGACATTCTACATTAAAGCAAGCGATGCCTAAAATCAATGCTGATCGTACTGGCGCGGCTTTCGAATTTGAGCCACCCATTTTTTGCTCTCCATTCACGTGGGAATTTATTATCCTATACCCATCCTGTCTTTTTTCGCTCTCCATTCACGTGGGAATTTATTATCCTATACCATCCTCTCTAATCCTCTGCTTTGTTGTCTGCATTTGTGATCACGAGGTCATATCTACGTATACTGCTACCTTTTTAAATGCACGAAAACAAGTTATTTTACTTACAACATATCAACATCCCAATATGTGTCAAGTGCGGCAAATCTGTCGCATATGCAAATCACCAA